AGTAGTAATGTTCTTAAAATTACACTACAAAAATAAGTGTTAAATTTGCCAAAAATAGGCCTACAGATTAAGGGATACTATCAATTAAAAAATTCAACATAAAACCCGGAGAATTAGAAACTAGAGTTGAGTTCAGGGCGCCATAAATACACGATAATTATTCACGATAGATACCACTGTATGGCGACTGCCCCTGCCGCTGCTTCTGCTTGACCCAAAGCAAGAGATGAAAGCATGGCTTGATTACACAGAACCCCTGTTTAGACAAAATCTCCGTTAATGATAATGATCAGGTGGAAAATCAACAAGGGCTCTCTCTCTTTTTTTTTAACGAAATATAAAGCTCACAGATAATTCAATGAATGTTTCTGCAGCAAGACATATATGAAATTTAGCGTAACATTCGTGGACTGTCTCTGGATAACTAAAAAGTGACGGAAAGTAAATATTAATGTCTGAAATCAACACCGGATACAGAGAGACAACAATGAAGCAGAAATTGATATACCCTACTGGCAGAAACATGGCACTTAAGCTCTGCTTAATACTCCCAATGAAACTTGAAACAGGACCGCGCACTTCTGGAACGCCAGAATTAGACTTTTGCGGTTCCCATTGTCAGAGTAATGGAGACGAAGAAGCTTGGGGCGAGGTCTTTGAACTGGTTGGCGAGGAGTTGAGGCGGGGGCCAGTGCTGTAAATATACGCGTTCTCCCATATATGAGCTCGGTAAGTATGGGCTTATCTTTTGAGTCGGTTGTCGACTTGTTGTTAGTCCGAGATCCACCTTAACCCTACATGGAATTTATTTAGTTGATGAATTATCATCGCTTTAGCCCGTGTTATTGTAAATATATATATATATATATATATATATATACGTGTGTGTGTAACGTTTGTACAACACATCAATGCTACAAATTTTAATTCAATTTAAGCTTACCAGCTATTGTAACATTAAAAAAAGTACAACGTTGGAGTCGATTACTCTTACATTCCAGAAAGCCACTTCCATCTGCCCACCAACGGCGGGCTACACCCTCACCTCCTAGTTACTATAATGCGGTTGTTTTTGGCCAATTTACTGTATGAAAGTTTACGACCATAACAAGATTTATGCCTATTATAATTTAGCTCTACAGCCACATTGATCTCTGGTTTCGCTCCAACTACATCGCCGTGGACAGAGAAAATAAGCGCTTTTAGCATAAAGAAATAATAATAATAGATAAACAGGCTGATAATTTTAAATGCAAAATTACAAACGTTTGAAGGTCAAGTTACTAAAATTAGAACATTCGCTAATTTCTTATCGGCAATCGCAAATTTATTAGTACCCCTAGCCATGGCGAAAAAAATGTTCGGAATGTTCGGATCGGAACGTCCGAGCTGGAGCCGATGTGGTACATGTTGAACAGTAAACAAATCGCGTGCCATATTTGTAACGGTAAACAAATTTTACACTTTTTGTTGGTTGTCACTGATGTCAGCTACTCAAATGTTCTCTCAATTCAATGCAACCGTCAAATGTGAGCCTTCGCTTTTGGAACTAATATAACACCAAGTATTTTGCTAATTATGTAGTATGAACGTATAAGGCTTCTTCACTTTTCAGCGTAGATATCTCATTAGCACCTTATAATTTGTCGTTCATATAACACTAATGTAATGTCCTTAGATCTTTCGGAATAATGATTGCGAGTCGCATATTATATGATGAATTATTGCGTCTTGGCTTGCAGTTTTCTTTGTAACGTGGAGTAAGCATTAAACTCGTAGTTTTCTCGAACAAGTGTATTAACGATGTTAGTCAGATCTATGTATGTTTGATTGTTATGTTAATTTGACTTATTATTATGTTAATTTGAAATTAATATAGTACATAGGAACAGAAAGTAGTTATATTAGGCTTGGAACAGAAAGGGAGTTAGTACATAGAAAGTTAGCGCTATGTTATCTTAATGTAGTATATCAATCTCAATTAATAAACGATCTGTAAATGTTTAACGAGTATACAATTTACATTACTAGATATCATAATTTTTGTTTTCACTTGTATTTGAATGCATGTGATATACCATATTACTGTATGGTTATAGTTAGCATAACTTTAACCAGTAATTACTAAACATGGTTTATACAGCCAAGATTTTGCCATTTTATCAAGTCTATAAAATGAATAATAATAATGCAATGAATGGTGATAATAAGACTTGTTGTTATTTGTGCCGTGGCCGAATTTTCACATGATCCGAACAATTTTTTTCGCCATGGCTAGGGTACTACAAATTTATGCAATGACGTAAGACAATGGATCACAAAAGGATAAATGAGAACAATAGGCAAAAAAAAGGGGGTGTGTGGCGTAATTATATAGCTGGAAACCTTCAGCGCACGTTCGCGTCACTTTCTCAAATATAAACTTCTCAAGACACGACGACTGTTTAACGAAAGCCAACCTATGGTATTAATTATTTAAGCCAGCTCACGAACGGTGATAACTGTCAAAAAAAGCGCGAGTAAAAAAATACCAGTTACAAAACCGCAAACGCGATATATTTTTCGCGACAACTTTTTCTCAACAAAATTGCTCGTCCAAACCAAAACCTATCGTATATATTCAACCCGAGATTTCTGTCACGATAAACTACTGTATGATAAGTGGGTGGGGTATGGTAAATGAGAGATGGTAAGTGGTGAGTGGGGTAACGTTTATAACAACACAGCAAAGTACTATGTTAGGCAAGTTAAGCGCTCATATGACAAAAACTGGTTTACAAAAACCAGTTTCAATCAGTAACAACAACAATACTTGAAGTAACATGTCTCAAGGCAAATAAGCGCTATAACATTAACCAAGCTTTTTAAGCAACGTTTAAAACTCTTCAAAATGACGAAACAAAATATAGCAAAAAAGAAGGGTGTATTGAAGTGGGATAAACAAAGTAAACACTCGCGGCGAGACACGAGTAAGCGTCATCCGCCGTACGCTAAATAAAGTAAGCACTCGTCTAGCGTACGCTAAACAAAAGTAAGCGCTCGTCCGCCTGTACGAGTAAGCGCTCATTCGCCGTACGCTAAACTCGTCCTCGGCATGACGCTAAACTGCCACCTTGATTGGGAAGGTAAGCAGAAAGTTAGTGGTATCTTGGAAATTGTGATCTCGTTATGCAGAGCATTCGTGGATCTAGTTTTCCATTCTCTGTGATGCTAACAATTCGGTCTCAGCTAGTATCTCCCTCTCTCATTATGCGGTAATGCTAATGATT